TTCAAATCTGACACTACCGGGTATGTCAGTTTCAAAATCAAATACTATGTTCAGTTTCAAAATCTAACACTACCGGGTATGTTCAGTTTTCAAAATCTAACACTATGTTCAGTTTTCAAAATCTGACACTAGCGGGTATGTTCAGTTTTCAAAATCTGACACTACCGGGTATGTCCAGTTTTCAAAATCAAACACTATGTTCAGTTTTCAAAATTTAACACTACCGAGTATGTTCAGTTTTCAAAATCTAACACTACCGGGTATGTTCAGTTTTCAAAATCAAACACTATGTTAAGTTTTCAAAATCTAACACTACCGGGTATGTTCAGTTTTCAAAATCTAACACTATGTTCAGTTTTCAAAATCTAACACTATGTTAAGTTTTCAAAATCTTTTCAAAATCAAATACTATGTTCAGTTTTCAAAATCTAACACTACCGGGTATGTTCAGTTTTCAAAATCTAACACTATGTTCAGTTTTCAAAATCTGACACTAGCGGGTATGTTCAGTTTTCAAAATCTGACACTACCGGGTATGTCCAGTTTTCAAAATCAAACACTATGTTCAGTTTTCAAAATTTAACACTACCGAGTATGTTCAGTTTTCAAAATCTAACACTACCGGGTATGTTCAGTTTTCAAAATCAAACACTATGTTAAGTTTTCAAAATCTAACACTACCGGGTATGTTCAGTTTTCAAAATCTAACACTATGTTAAGTTTTCAAAATCTAACACTATATATGTTCAGCTGTTAAAATCAAACGCTGGTTAGTTTTTTAAATGTTCAGTTTTCAAAATGTAACACTATGTTCAGTTTTCAAAATCTAACACTAACGGGTATGTTCAGTTTTCAAAATCAAACACTATGTTCAGCTTTTAAAATCAAATGCTGGTTAGTTTTTAAAATGTTCAGTTTTCAAAATCTAACAGTGTGTTCAGCTTTTAAAATCAAATGCTGGTTAGTTTTTAAATGTTCAGTTTTCAAAATCTAACACTACCAGGTTATGTTCAGTTTTCAAAATCAAACACTATGTTCAGTTCAAAATCTAACACTATGTTCAGCTTTTAAAATCAAACGCTGGTTAGTTTTTTAAATGTTCAGTTTTCAAAATCTAACACTATGTTCAGCTTTTAAAATCAAACGCTGGTTAGTTTTTAAAATGTTCAGTTTTCAAAATTTAACACTATGTTCAGCTTTTAAAATCAATTAAATGCTGGTTAGTTTTTAAAATGTTCAGTTTTCAAAATCAAACACTATGTTCAGCTTTTAAAATCAAACGCTGGTTAGTTTTTAAAATGTTCAGTTTTCAAAATCTAACACTGTTCAGTTTTCAAAAGCTGGTTAGTTTTTAAAATGCTATGATCCGATTTGTCAGTTTTCAAAATATTATACCATATTCTGTTCATCGATATTTTCTAAATATGGTCAGACAGTACACGGTCGCATACTCCCACTGTACTGTTTTCATGCATACTTTGCAGTATCCTCACAATACCCTCATATTATTTTTACATATGTGTTTATGTACAAGAAATATGAAAATAATAATATATTTATCTGATTTAGTTTGAAAACTTGGGCTGCTTTCATTATATTTTATTACCAATACATCTGCAACTTCCTTATGATATAAATATACGTTTTAGGTGAACATTTAACAAATTCTGGTCGCAGAATGGGTAGAAAATCCAAACCCAGTCAAGCCGTTGTCAACTCTCCAAGTAAAAAATGGGCATATCTATTATCTAGGGTGGGGTGTTAAATACCGCTTAGTATCTGTATGTATTAACTAAATGTACTCTGGGATGGACAAAGGATGAAAAAGTTGAAATTTGATGAGTCGGCATTCCAGCACCCAGAAAAATTATATAATATCTATGTATGAAATAACATGAACACATGTGGTTAGGCTAATGACTTTCTCACATATCTCAATCATATTTAGTAACTTTATTACCACCAAGTACAATGAAGAGGAGTTTAATTGGGATAATTGAAATTACATATGTATCATTCAATATGTGTTAAACTGAAACGTGATTGAAGCTGCGTTTTTATTACCGGTACATGATATAATATTGGTAATTCTAAAACCCATAATCTCATCTGTAATTCTATAATGAGTCATACATATTTCTCGTGGTTTGCCCTCAAAACAAGGCCGCTATCCACAACAGGTCAAATACTCCCCATTAAGGTCAAAGGTCACGAGACTTGCTACAAATCAAACTAATTCCGAGTGCCTAAATAATGTTATTGATCTGAAATGTGACATGTTTTGGGTTGTATGGATTCCTCTAGATGCAATTTGAAGGTCAGGAACCCTACTCTTCGCATCATCCTGTTAGTCCCTCCCACAATATAACGGATTAGTATTTAATGCTATGCCTCGGAAATGTGCAAGGGCGTGTATATTATATTATAAAACTTCACTGGCGAAACAATATACGGTCTTGGAGTTTAAACTTGCCTGGCAGGGTGTCAAGGAGAGTAGTATGTTTCGTCACATCAAAACTCAATTGTTGATCCGCCCGTTGTGATATCCTGCAACGATTATATAAGTGTCTCCTTATTTCAGAATTTCAAAGAATACTTTCCAAATACCTGTCATTTTTACGAGGTGTTTTGTAACAATTTGCACAGATAGCTAGATGAATATTGACGTGAATTTGACATCATGTTTTGAAAAAAACAAATTTTCAATTGTGAATTAAAAATGAAAATTCCAAGCATTCCAAAGGAATACAAACAGAATTTAATGATGTCAAACTTTGAGACATTGAATTCTTAACCATACATGGGGGTGTCCATCATCCACTAACTAGATCTTTCTTTGGGGCACAGTAAAGGGATTTTCACTCCAGTCCGAGTTGACGAACTCGGCAGATTTTTTCCCTAAAAACGAACATCTTGTAGTTTTGTTGTTTCTGCTTTTTTTCACAAACTTGAAACAGAAAAACCTGAGTTATGACGAATTATATACGTTTACTTCAAAATTAAGATTTTTTTTCATCTATCTGTAAAGATTTTTAAAATGTGTGTCAACGACCGACATAGTCGGGGAAGGGGCATTATGTAGCATTACGAGTACCTTCTAAAATACTCTAAAACAAATATCCGGTCACTCTATTTGTTTTTGTTTAAACTCCAGAAATCTGGCAGGATAAAAGCCCAATGAATTTGTTTATTTTAACTTCTACTTTTAATGAGTTGGTAGTCCGGTGGTGTTACGTAATTTGAACAGTTTTCCAAACGGCAACACAATTTGTACATGTTAAATTGCTATAATATAAAATATACTCGTGTTTTATAATTATATGGCGTTTCCTTACTCGAACATGAGACTATGCTCAGCGACTTAAAGTACTGTTTACTTTTCAAAGTTCAGCAGTAAGCTGTCCTTTTTTTTACTGGACCAGACCATTATGTTTGCAGGAAAGATAATTCTAAGTAAAACATGTACTGCTGCCACTAATTTTGAAGAAATAAATTTGTAAATCTACCATAAGTTGATTAAAAGTTCGAAGAACAAAATGCAATACATTAAAGCGGAGAGAGGGAGCGTCTCAAACATACTCCCTCCCATCGTAGCCATTTCCGTAGTCTATATATGAAGTAGGCACTTGTCCCAGCTGGATGGTAGTTTGCGGTGAAACGTCGCTGCGATAAAAATGTCTGTTACCATGGAGACTATCAGCATTGACGAGAAAGCTGTAAAGATAACATAAACAAATTACGTCTTTTCTATGATTTTACATTTATTGTGTCTGGTGGCTTCGAAATTCTGTAAAAAATAAAGTGTTGTTACAAATTTATCACAGTTCTTTGGGCTCACCTTCTATTTGAAGTTGCCACAAACTGGGGTCCCAAAGTACAATGACATATGCTTCTGTCCTTAGAAGGATTATCAGAATTCGTAAAACTGATACATCAATCTTATACGTACAAGCTCTTCAAAATTAGCTGAATTTTTGAAAGCATTCCAATGATTAAACGAATGAAAATTTTTACAAGTTTGCGCAACATACCATGATGGAAACCATTTTCATGATCTTTCCAGAACTTCTGAATAAAGTATAGGTTGATCATCAATATTCAAAACTCATGAATATGCTAATATAAACTCCATATATGGTGAAAACTAACGTTGTTATGGTTATACTCCGCCCATCAGAAGTGCTGGATCAATCAGAAGTGATGTGAAGCGTATTAATATGTTAATGTCAGTGTTGTCAAATATGCCAGAAAACTTCTCTCCTGAACACATTCCAGTGACTTTGACTTGCTTGTAAGATCGCTTCTCTAACCCTCAACTTTACAGCGTCCATTTATTTCTCACAATGGCAAACAAGGGCAGATCCTACGGACTAAGCGCACAGGTGCAGGCTAAGGTATGTGGCTTAAATATATCCTTTCGGAATTTTTCCCACGTCACAAATTTTTAATCTTACGCTGATATTCAACTATCATCCAATGAAAAATGACAAAATGTCTTTCTGAGAGTATGAGTGGTTGGGATAAAAATGTTAGAATGTTTAGACTAAGACAAACATTTATGACAGAGGCCAAAATCAGCTAGTCTGTTGAAGGGAACGCATCGACTTTAAGCACCGTCGTCTCTAGGGATATCCTCGGTTTTACTAGCAACGGAACTTACAAAATGGCTACCCGCGGTCCTTCATATGGGATGAGCGCTCAAGTCGCTGCTAAGGTCAGTATTGAGGTTCAGTCTTGTGAAGTTTAATAAGTCTTTAAAAAGGGAAAACTAAAAAAAGAAAATACTTTCGTGGCCTATTTTGAAATGTGCTATTTCCATGTTGAGTGAGTCAATCCGAAATTAATGACTGTCTGGAAACTGATGAGGAGTTTGGCTTATAAAAATAATCACTCGATATTTCAAGATAACAATTTCCCCAAAATAAACACTTATCAAGTTGGAGTAAACAAGGCGAAGGAAATTCAAAGCCGTATTTAATGATGAATTAATGCTGGTCAAATTTATCTTTGTGCCAATTCGAGTAGATTCCTTTAATAATATGGACTTGCTTAGGCTCTCAATTTCTTGGCCTCTAAATATAAATAAATCAGTGTTACTCAGATGATGGAGAACAGATGCCATTCTTTAACTCATTTACTTGCTTATTTTAATAACTGTTGATGATTACATTGAAATATTTTTGAGTAGAAATAGAAAAAACAATACAAACAAATCTAAAACTTATTTTACGAGAGCTGGGAAAAATATTAAGCATTCCTTTCGCCTAAAGGGGTGTTGCAAAGTACCATGGGAAAATATATAAATAGTTACTTGAAACAAAATCTGTGCTATAGCACATTCAAGAGTGTTGCCCTGTTCACCCTGAATGCAGCTAGGAGAATGTCAGTTACTGTCAGGTTAATAAGGTGTGATATTATTTTATTTACGTACTGGCAAATCAAACTTTCAATGTAATGGATAAAATAATGTGTGAATGAATGAATGTTTCTGCATTCATCTAAACAACTTAAAGTGTTTCTAACATTTGAACATTTTAATGCTGTTGTGCATTAAAATCTAAATGTTATTAACTCAACATTGTCCAGTGTGAATTTAAATCCTGAGTGAATATGTGTAACAAGATAGGGGTACTTATATAGGCTTAGACCACCTAGGTTATACTAAACTGTACACATTTTCACTGCATTACATTGTGCTGAAGATATTTCACAATATATGCTAATATTATTTTCAGAAAAGAATTATCTATATTATTCTTTAATAAATACATGTAATATACTTTCATGCATTAATTAGTCTAGAAGACCGAAAATGCTTTGACGCTCAAACAAATAAATTAGATTTCAAAATTATGTTTATTTAAAATTAATTGTAAGAATATATATGAAATGTACATATCTTTACACCCAGAGGTTTGCTATGGGTTCTGAGATTTTGAAAAAGGTTTTGAGTGCCCCCATTCAATCTGACAATTAAGTCTGACCAAAAACAAATAGTTTTTGCCTAAAATAGTGAAAAACAAAAAATCATTAATTCATTCAAGATCCGATTTACTAATATTGGTCAACATGGATATTGAGTAGACTAGAAAAATTACCCCCTCCCTCCCAAGAAAACATATAATAGCAGGTAGTATGTAGTGTTGTTGGTGGGGTTGGGGGAGGGTTTCAAATGAACAGATACTTTATAAGCCCTTAGACAACACTTCAGCTGAATGTCTTGTACCTACACCCACCCACCCACACACACATCTACTTGTCCCTAATGTCTGCATGGTCAAAGGTATCTAGATCAGCATCACTCACCCACCCTCAACAGTTCCCTCATCCCTAGGGTCAGAAGTCAATTGAATATAACCACGGGATAACATTTGGAATATAAATGTGCTTATAAAGACAAACATGCTTGGTCGGTGACATACAATTCCTTATTCAGACAGGACATTAATTGCTATATAGTTTGAGTCATGTTACAATAATGTATGGTATTTTGTGTCAGCTATGCTAGCGAAGGTAGTAATTCTCCCTTTAAAACATCAACATATTTGACATACCTAGTCATAGAGCAATAAGGAGACTGCTGGCAGTTCAGATTGTAAATCAAAATATAGAAGTTAAATATTACTACTGTGCTTATGACAATGCATTATGGGAGAAAATTCCTACTTTTTATTATGGTGGTTTATTATCATATTGGACGCAAAATACATTAGAAAGAACTTTGTAACATATCAGGCTGTATCAGCAAATTTTCAGTGAAGAAATAATTTGAAGGTGTATATGAAACAAAATATTTTCATTTTCAAGAATCTTGTTTTTTTTAAAAAATCATTCTTTAAAAAAACTTTATGTCTCCTAATAACATATTATTAAATAAATATCAGAGCATAACATTAATAGACCTCTTCGTGAATGGCCGCTGAGATCTTGTTGAAAGGGAGAGAGCCGTAAGACTTGTTTTTGCCTCTCAAAAAGATTTCATTCTAGAACATCATTGCATCTGCTGGCCAAGGAAACCATTGAATTTGAGTCAAACACCATGAAAGGGGGGAACAAGTCGCACTGTGAACGAGATTTCGGCGGCCATTTGCACATTTGATTTATTAAATGACAGTAGTCACTTGCATTTGAATTTGTGTGAGTAACAATGTATTTTACATCTGAGATCAATATCGAACAATGCCCATCTTGAATCATTATCAATGAGCCTGTATGATTAAATATGATTATAATAATTTTTTATTGGGATTTTAATACAAACTAACCATTTTGAAATAGAAGAATAAGTGACAGCTATTCAAATCAGCATGATCCCTTCAAAAAAAATTATTATCATTCAAGTTACTAATTTAGTTTTGGGTATGTGACATTTGAAGTAATGTGATCATATTGTTTACTAGGAATTTGATACATGTGTGTCTGTCGTTTCCATGCTTGTCTGTTCAGGATTCCACATTTATTGGTTCCACATGTAAATTATTGACCACCAATGGGGAACATAATTGTGGTGTGAAACCTACAATTTGTACACATCATATTTTGCAAACTATTTAATTTTTGCTGCTAGGAATTTTCACGATTTGGTGATTTTTTACCTTTTCATCACCAGACTCTCTCGCCCAAATGTTCCTGCACTTTTTTTTTTATTCTTCAATATTTCTGGAAATGAACCCTAATTTTGGAGCAAACAGACAAAATTTGAATCAATTTTCAGTTTTTACTCAAAAAAAATTTTCTATCTCATAAAATAAAAGCGGTTTACGGTAGTTATTATGTAATCAGGTTAGATATGGATTGAATTTCAGTTTGGTCTATTTACCCAACATACACTTTTATGACATAATTTGTACTCACTATCAAATAATTTAATTGTTATTTATATTTACTGAACACAGTAATAGTGTACTAAATATTGGCATTTAGTTACATAAAAAAACAAAAACAAATTATTTTCATTCAATTTTATATATTCTTTGATAATTAATAATAATGTTTTTGTTTGAGGCAGTAATCGGTTAAATTAAATTAAATTAAATATTGATTAAAAATTACAGTGTGTATACAGGGAATCAAAGCTTAAAGTGGAATGTGTGAAGTGAAACACAATCATGGCAATGACAAATTTAATACATTCTGAATTTGAGCAGGAAAGGTATTTATAATCATTGGTCAATTAAGACGAGCTGTGATTGGGTATATGGTATTGTCATATAAGGCATGCTGTGATTGGCTGTATGGTGTTGGTCATATAAGGCATGCTGTGATTTGCTATATGGTGTTGGTCATTTAAGGGAGATAAATGATTGGGTAATAGGTCATTGTATGGGATTGGTCATATAGGGGGTACATAAGATTGGCCAAGAGGTTGAAGGCTTAATCTGGGATTGTCACTAAGCTCTGTGTGTTTGATTTTTAACAGAATATACATTGGTGTGGAAACATGATGAATCTTGATTTTATTCACAATATAGGGCGGCTAGAAAAGATGGATATTCTTTTGTCTAAATGATCAGTAAGTTGTGCACATAATTTGATTGTAATTTTCATCAGGTTTTTAAATATTTTTGTATTTTCTGCTAAACATAGATCGGTGCTAAACGTGATCCTCAACAAGAAGCAGAAGTGCAGGAGTGGATTGAGACATTAACAGGTGAAAAGTTCCCATCAGACTATGCTGAATCATTAAGAGATGGCATCATTCTCTGCAAGTAAGTAAATGGGTTGTAGTTTTCAATTGATAAGACTGTGCTGTAATGTTCATCTGATAAGAACAGTCATTACATGATTCTAGATATTTGAGATCTGAGCATAGTTATCACATTGCCTGCTGAAAACCTCCGTGGATAGCCAAAATGCATAGAAAAAAACAGCAGGCGATGTATTTACATTTTGAATTGTAGTTAGTGATTTCACTCTATATCATATTTGAAATGGTATACATCACAGTATTGTACTGGCATATTCAGGAAAGGAATCATTTAATCTAATTTATACATTGTTTGAATTACAAAAATATTTATCAAGTGGCATCTATATTGAGTAATTATTACATCTACTTACAGTATTTGTTCTATTTGTAGCGCATGCATGTAAATGACAGAGGTGATTGTAATGATTCGGTATGCAATTTTTGGTGTATGTTCATTTATATTGGAGATGCGCTTCTAATAGAGAAAATGCTGTATTTCTATATGTTTAAACTTTTTATGACATAAATTGGCCTTATTTAAAGGGCGGTAGTCGTCGCGTCGTGCATGTGCGACATTCTAATGAAATCACGAGTATGAGTCTTGCGTGACTTGCACAATTACCGGCGACTCCTTCGATACCTTCCAAACACCAAAACAAACAGAATACTTAATTAAAGCTTGGTAACCTTTCAGTTTGTTCTAGCTGGTGTGTGCTACAGTCAAAATCGCCATCTTTGTTTATCTGAAACCCATATCTCGTGCATGCGTGGCGGGAATACTACCGCTCTTTAACATAAACCCTGGATTTTGAACAGATGCAGTGAAATAATATAATGAGATGGTGCATATTCCTGGGAGCGAATATCCAGGCATTTTTACTGCTTAACAAGCACAACTAGTGAAAACAATCTCAAAACTTTCAAAAAAACTGTACTTTGGTCTAGTTGTTGAGACCCTCCTGAATAGTGTAACAAGATTACATGTGCAATGCATAGAAATTTGGTTGTTCAGGATTGTCTCACAGTTAAGTTTGTGCTGTTTTATCAAAATTTAAACCTTATATTAAAAATACCTCATAATTATTTACTCCGCAGGTTGGCCAATACATTGGTCCCTGGCTCAGTTAAGAAGGTCAATACAAACAAAACACAATCTTTTAAGCTGGTAAGTACTAATTAACACATACCTCTTGATGGAATACCTAGGAAAAATGTGTCTTATCTTTTATCATTTATAACCTGAATTTTAATATGTCAAAAGATCTGTAAGGAATATTTTTTTCTATATATGTGAATTTTAATATGAATGCGTCATTAGTTTTATATGAACATGTCACGTGACTTGCAGTGCTTACATGTCATATAAGATAAGATAAGATAATTCTTTATTACAACCATATTGAAAAAAATCAATTTAGGTGGATACAAATGTAATAAAGGTATAACAAACTATTCTAAAAACTAAAACTATACTTATTTATAAAGATACAGTAAAGAAATATTACAATTACTTGAAGATATATGTCACAGAATTCATTTCCAGTGTTATTTGACGTCTTCTTATATTTTATTTTTGTTTTGTTCTGCATTTTAGAGGGAAAACATTGAAAATTTCCAGAAAATGGCTAAAAATTATGGTGTTCCTGAAACCGATGTTTTCCAGGTAGTAGATTTGTTTGAGAAATCCAATATTTCCCAAGTCACCCAATGTATCTGTGCTGTTGGACGCTTGGTAAGTAATATGAGACATTACCTGATATAAATATTTCATGTATATAATTATGTTAACCGTTTCACAACCAGTTCCATCTTTTCATCACCAATTCACAAAATACCGTTAAAGTCCTATTATAAACCGCGGTTTATATTACAATGTATCAATTTAAAAATTGGGATCAAAAGCTCAAGTTCGGGGTGCGGTTTCTATTACGTACATATTGCAATCACTAAATGGGCGTGGTCATTTTTTTTCCACAACACAAGCACAAAACAAACAATACACCGTACAATCTCTTGAATAGGCGTCGGGGAAGAGTGAAAGGCCTTATTTTGGTTCTAAAATAGGCGTTACGAAATGTTGAAAAATTACAGTCAATCAAAAAAAATTTCCACATGATACAAAAAATACTCAGTATTTTTAATGTAATATGCATTTATTTTTTTAATTTTCTTGGTAACGAAAAGTATATTCTAACAGAAGTTTCAAATAAAAACACGAATGCACTGCTTAGTAGCAAATGATCACAGAACGGTAGCTCGATCCGGCCATGCTGCGGGTCACAAGTGAATAACCCTTACGGAAATACAAGGCTTCTGGCACATACTTGTGGCAAGCTTGCCACAACTTTGTGGCGTGTGTACCACAAGTGATTTGCGGCACGCTTGCAGCATATGCATATTTTCGCATGCAAATTAGCACTTGTGGCAACTAATGTGGCAAGGTTGCCACAAAGTTTGCGGCATGTATGCCACAATTTCTTGTAAACTGCCAGAATCCAGCTTGTGGCACAGTTGCCAGAAAACTGCTTGTGGCAAGGA